TTGGGAGGCTGAGGCACAAGAATCGTTTGAACCCAGGAGGGGGAGGTTGGAGTGAGCCAAGATCGTGCCACTGCACTCCAGCCTGGGAGAAAGAGAGAGGGAGATTCTGTCTAAAAAAAAAAAAAGAAAACTCTAAGATGAAGTTTTATCTTTAAGGATAAAGGAAGACTTGCTAGATAATGGTAAAAGACTCAGTTCACCAGGAATGCATTTGTATTTACCTAAACCAATCAAATCAGGATATATTAAAGCAAACATTGACATCATTATGGGCATAAATTGAGAAATCTATAACTGTATTGAGGGCCCTTGACACACCTTTCTCAATCATTGACAGATCAAAAGGGTAAAAAATGTAAAAGATTTAAAATATTTTAACAACACAATATGGAGATACATATGGAGTTCTGTACTCAATATTTAGAGACTATCTTTCCCCAGTGTCAGAATGTAGATATCTGACTAGGCAGCATTTAGAAGATAATATCTTTGGATGAGGCTTACCAATTTACTTACTGACTCTGCCTGAACTTAGGGCAAGGTGTATTAAAGAGACTTATGGAGCTAGTTGTCCTCCTCAAGGTCTACTTCTTAGTAACTGAGGCTAGAGGCACATATCTGGTTGAGTAGCCTCGCAACAGAACATGCTATGCTATGGGGATGAGGAGGGGTGTAAGCTAGGAGCTCTCAGTCATGGAGACCGGGGGGGCCTGGGGCTGGGCAAGTGCCTAATGGGGGAGAACTAGGGGGTAGTGCGATGTAATGGAGTTATAGTGGGCCCTTACCTGTAGTTCCTAAATATTGTAACCTGGGAATTCACACTGTTCCCCCAGCTCCTGGCCAGCTGTAGATCTTTCAACTGCAAAATGCTGCTCAGTTTTCTGCAAAGCGCAACCTCTGCTATTTGGGGAAGCTGGGCAAAAAGGTAGGTTCTGGGTAGTATGGGATTTTAACAATATTGATTCTTCTTCTTTTTTTTTTTTTTTGGAGACGGAGTCTCACTCTGTTGCCCGGGCTGGAGTGCAGTGACCGGATCTCAGCTCACTGCAAGCTCTGCCTCCCGGGTTCACGCCATTCTCCTGCCTCAGCCTCCC